CCTCCTCCTCCCCCTCCCCGCGTCCAAACCCGCGGCTCCCGGGCGCACGTACCCCGCCGTCATGGCCACGTTGTAGAAGGTGAGCCAGGCGGTGGCCAGCGAGCCCAGGCGCCTCCTCCGGCGGGGGGCCTCCCTGTCCCCGCCGGCCTCTGGGGCACCGTCCTCCTCACTGGACGCCATGGCGGCCGCGCACCCCGGGGACGAGGTGGAGACGCCGGCGGGGGCGGGGACCCGGCCTCGGAGCAGCGCCCCACGAGCCGCGCGCAGGGGGGTCGGGCGCAGGGGGAGGAGCTGGAGGGGCCCTGCCCCGCCGCCGCCGCCGCTGCGGGCCGCGATTTCCGGGGGCTCTGTGGTTTGCGCTCAGGGCGCATCCGTGCGCCAGCTGGCGGAGGGGACTCTTCTCCGGGACCCTCAGGCGTCCTGCGCCCGGGAGGACGGCGCCTGTCGGGGCCCCGAGTGGGAACGGACCCGGCGCACCTGGACTGGATGCGGCCCTCCCGCCCTGGCTTTTGAGGAGCGCTTTCCCGGGTGGACACGGGTTGTGGGGTCTTCCCACCCAAGACCTGTGCCTGAGGCCGCACGCCTCGTCCCGTCTCCCTGTCCCCGGCCAGAAAGGGCGCACGGGGAGGCTGGCCCTCTTTCCCAGTCTCTAGGGGCACTAGCAGCGCTTCAGTGTCCAGCGCTGGATGTCTTGGCCAAGTTGGAGGAAAGGAGAAATGACCCAGGAAGAGAAGTTTGGGCCAAGCACCGTCCTTTCCAGCTGTGTATCTCACTTTTTCCTCTCTTCCTTTCCACATCTGCGCTTGCCCCTAACAGCTCCTTCCCCGCCCATCCCCCTTAAAGCTTGAGGTTTAGAAGGTAGGCCCTGGCGTCAGGTTACTGAAATCCAAACCCTCTATTCCTGACTCCGCTGTCCGTCTTATTAACAGTGTCCGCTTGGGCACCTTTACCTTCCTATGCCTCAGTTTCCTCAATGGGGATATTTTAAAAAATGTCTACCTCCTAGAGTTGTGAAATTATCCATGAAAAACGCACACGGGCCTGAAACAGTTTAACACACACATACACACACCATCAGTTTGTTACTGCCTCACTGGTGATTCGGCCCTTAGTCCTTCGAAAGAAAGCGACCTGCATGTTAGGCAGGTGTTCTGGGATCAGACAGAGCCCAGGACCGGAGGAGGCTGGGGTCCGAGGACTGCAGGGCAACCCCTTCCCTGGTAGCCAGGAGTCCTGCAGGTGGCGAGTTATCCCGGTGCGCCACGTAAAGAGCCCCAATAGAGAAAGGAGAAGACAGGGAGAGACGGCGACATCCATTAGGAAGAAACGAATGGCTAAAATCGCTCCAATTTGATGAAAACTATGAACCCCTAAAAAAAATTTACATTCGAAAAGAAAAAGTGCAACTACTTATTTGCAAGTGACAGCATTGCACAATTAGGATATCCTAGCGCTCCTAAGAAAAAGGCTACTGCAGCTAGTGACAGATACAAGGTCAATACACAAAAAAATATGGGTTTTTTTAATATATACTGGCAAAAAAATGGAAATGAAATTTAAAATAGAGCCACAGAATGTTTATCAGCATCTAAAACCATGAACTGTGTGGGATAAATTTAACAAAATATGTGCTGGTCTTGTACACTAAGAGCTATAAATCACCGCTGAAAACTACATTCCTGATGGAAGACTTAAGTAAATAACAATCCCATGTTCGTGAATTGGAAGACTCACTACTGGTAAGATATCAGTTCTCCTCAATCCTAGATATATATATATATATTTTTTTTTTGCTGAAACAAGGTAATTCTAAAATTTATGTGGAATTCCTCTTAAGGCTTACTGTGAAACGACAGTGTTCAACACAGTGTTGTAGACATATGGAGGGACATATAGATCAATACAGCTGCCTGGAGTCCACATATAGATCCATTAGTATAACCAATTGATTTTCGACTAAGGAGCTGTGATAATTCAATGTCAAAAGTATAATATTCGCAAGAATATGGTGTAACTACTAGATGTCCATATAAAAATGGATCTCGACTCTTACACCACAAATATTAACTTGAAATGGATCATAGACCGAAATATAAAAGCTAAAACTATAAAACTTCTAGAAGAAAATATAGCAGAACCTTTGTGACCTTGGAGAGGGCAAATATTCCTTAGATAAACACAAAAAAGTAGTAATTTGAAAAGAGAAGAAAAGATTGAACATGAAAATGTGAAAGTCTAACCTTTTAAAATTAAAACGAAAAAATAACAATATTCACAATACATTTATCTGGCAAGGAACTTATATCCAGAATACATAAGGAATCCTTATGACTCAAAACAATCTGATATTTTAAATGAGAAAAAAAAATCTAGTAGATACTTAGCAAAGAAAATATAGAAACAGCCAATAGCACATGTATAGATGCTTGATCTTATTAGTCATTTTTGGAAATGCAAATTAAATCACAAAGAGTTCTCGCTGCACTACCACTAAACTTGCTAATATTTCAAAATGTTGGCAAGGGTGTGGAACAATCAGCGTTCCCATACAAAGGGCAAGAGACAAGTGCTTAGGAAAACATTTGGCAATTTCTTTAAAAGATCAGCATATACTTACTATGTGACCCAGCAATTTCATTCTTGGTGTTTAACCAAGAGAAATAAAAATGCGTGCATACAGAGATTTGGATATAAATGTTCACAGTGGCTTTAGTCATAGTAACACTAAACTAAAAATAACCATGTGTCCATTAACACATGAATGGACAAATCATAGTGTGTTCGTGCAATGGGATACTACTCGGCAAGAAAAAGGCATAAACTGCTACAGCACAAACACAACTCCACAACTATATGCTGAGCAACAGTAGCCAGACAGGAAATAGTACACAGTGCATGACTGTTATTGTATGGAACTCTAGAAAACGAAAATCTAACCTATAGTGACAGGTTGGCTGAATCTAGGAATGTCTGCAGAGAAAGCAAACTAAAAATAGGCCTAGGAATCATGTTAGGGTAATGTAAACAGGTTCAGTACGCTGCCTGTGGTGGTTATACAGATATACCCTTATCAGAATTCAACATGTTGAACACATAAAATGCATGCATTTTTGTATAAATTATTACTTAGAGTTAATTTTAAAATGTCATGAAAAGCAAGTATCTTAAAGTGTAAAAGTTACCATATTATTGATGTCTAACATACAATCCAAATAGTGTGGCAGAATGGATTTGTATTTTGTGGTTAATAGTTACGTTTTCAAATATTCTGGTTTTTGTTTGTTTTGTTTTGGGGTTTTTTGAGACAAGGTCTCCTTATGTAGCTGACCTTCAACTCACTATGTAGCCCAGGCTGGCCCCAAACTCAGGGTGATCTTTCTAACTAACTTCCCAAGTGCTAGGATTATAGGTGTGCACTCCTCATTTTCACAATGGTTATACTTTTTATAAAGTTCAATATGTTAACATTTGTAAAACATGAGTGTGTGTGTGTGTGTGTGTGTGTGCATATGTGTGTGGTGATGTGGATTGAAACCAGGGCTTTTACACTGAGCTACATCTGAGTGTTGGGACTACAGGCAAATTTGCTCAAATGGTACCAAGGTAGTTCCTACTCAAGCAGAAGAAAAAAAGAAGATAGAATAATGTAGCATTGTGATTCCAGGCATGTGCCACCATACACTGGTTTCAAAAAATAAAAAATAAAAAACTTTCAAATACTCTAGGAATAAATAATGTCAACAGATTTGTAAAAATGTCTTTTTAAAAAATTAGTGATTCATTGTGTACTAGTTATCCAATGATGATAACAAAATGAATGAAAAATGAGGGCCTATCTTCATGAAGCTAACAGGATTTTTAAATCGTGCAAATAAATGTATTCGAAATATGTTAGTAACATACCAGTTCTGATGTGCTGGGAAGCTAACCCAATCTGCCTCTCTCTCTCTCTCTCTCTCTCAGAAGAGAAGGTGGGGATGCTGGGGATTGAACCCAGGGCCTTTGCACTGAACTCCATCCCTAACTTATTATTTTGAGACAGGGTCTTGCAAGCTGGACTTGGGATCAACTTGCCTGAGCCTCCCAGAGTTTCGACATTACAGGCATGTGCCACCACACCTGGCCAATTTCCTTATTTTGTATGCTTATGAAAACTGAGGGTATCCTTCTAAAGATTACCTAAAATCTCCTTCAGAAAGGAATCAAATCTGGCTCTAGGATAACAGTTGAAAATTAAGGAGTAAAAACCTTCTGATCTATGGGTACATTATTATAAATAAGAATTTCATACTTAAATAACTGTAACAACTTGCAAAATTAAACATGAAAATGAGACATACATGTGTGCTGTTATGAATATTATGTATGACTAAACATAGTATAAAAAGGAGTATTTTAAATTCTCCTTTGAGAAAATGTTCTATGTCGAGAGATATTATTCAAGCAGCTTTACAATGAAAATGGCTTTTTCCTTCTTGAAAATCTCCCCACTGTATGTATTGTTTACTGTGCTGAGCTTGGAATTACCTCCAAAACTGTACTCTCTTTTTTTAAAAGCTGCAGAAGCCTGGAAATTATGTTTTATAGTTATTTCTAAATTGTACATGATTTTTTTTAAAATTTAATTTTACTAGTACATTTTAGGTATACAATATAATGACAGTCATCATTGGAAATTT